GGTTAGGAAAAGATTCACTCCTCCTACCAGCAAACAGTCAGTGACACCATCTCACTTGGAGTCTGGGCAGAAGATACCGCACGGGGGGTCTGGAAGCCATCATGGCACTTCGACCCAAAGGGCATTTCTGGTTAGGGCAACATCCAGAGGGACCTCAAAGTTGCCATTTAAGGGAAATTTCCTGCACGGTCACATCCTTGTTGGAGATGCAGTCTCCCCTGAAAAAGTTATAACCCCTCCTACGTCAGAGCAGGAGTCCTAGGATTCTCCTGCCAATACTGGGAGTGACCATGCACTGCACAGGGTGGCAAAGGAGAACCCAGGAAGGTCCTTGTGCCCCCACATGGGCAGCATGAGTAGTCATGCCAACTTTGGTAGCTATAAACCTTAGATCGAATGCAGAATGTTGGGTCACCTTCCCCTTAGCGTCGATTTCTTTCCCCAAAGTTCTCATATGTCTAGGTTTGCTTTTGCACATCTTGCTGAAATGATGAAAACCCAGAATTGTGAGTCACTCAAGCTGGGGATAATTAGAAAAAGTTAGGAGACTTGTTTTAGGGACTAGAAAAGAGACGTCATGCCAGAGGCAGAGCAGGAGAGAGAGGCTCAGGAGGGGGACTTTGGCATGATGTAGTCTGCAAGGGAGTCTTTACGCCCGTGTGTGTGTGTGTGTGTGTGTGTGTGTGTGTGTGTGTAGGGGGGGAGAAGGAGGTGGGGAGTTAAAGGCATCAGAACAGAGATCTGAGCACATTATTTAGATAAAGTTTGATGAAAGCCTTTTCTGTCTCAAGCTGCAAGGTTCCCATGTTTCTTCTGGAGCCGGGCAGAACAATCTGGAACCATAAAATCAGACAGCACTGGACAGTCGGGGGAAGGACTGGATGCGGGGTATGTGCCTGTTGGTACGGGACTCACTCAGAACAAAGCAAACGCATCTGCAAGCATCTCATTGAAATGCTGAGAAAAGCAGCCCAGGACAAGGATATGGTGCCCGGGAGCTCAACCAGGGGCGGTTTCTCCCCTGGGGATGTTTGGGAATGTCTGCAGACATGTTTGGTTGTCACCACTGAAGCGAGAAGTCCCGGTATTTGGCCAGATATGCACAGGACAGCCCCCACCCCCGTAAGAATGATGGGACCTGAAATGCTAATAGGGCGGAGCTGGGGACACCATGGCCTTGAGAAAGGGATGGCAAATATTTAATTTTGTGGTGCTAATGATTACTGCAAAACATTTAAAAATTTAAATTGTGTGGTTACTTTGCTGTGAAAAATATTTAGGAACTTTTTTTTTTTTTTTAATTTTTGGGTTCTTTTGGAACCTCTGTCTTCCGGCACTATAGTCCTAATAGAAACTTCAGTTCTTCAATTCACATCCCATGGGGCTTTCAAGAATTTATTTATTTATTTAAAACAAAATTTTTTTAACGTTTATTTATATTTGAGACAGAGAGAGACAGAGCATGAACGGGGGAGGGTCAGAGAGAGAGGGAGACACAGAATCGGAAACAGGCTCCAGGCTCTGAGCCGTCAGCCCAGAGCCCGACGCGGAGCTCGAACTCACGGACCGCGAGATCGTGACCTGGCTGAAGTCGGACGCTCAACCGACTGAGCCACCAGGCGCCCTGGGGCTTTCAAGAATTTAATTCTTGCGCTTGATGAAGGACTACTGTGTAACAGCGATCGGTTAATGTATGCAAACTGTTCTGTCTGAAATACTGTGGTCAGAGTTCGGGAGAGAGTGCCTACCCATCCATCCAGTGAAAGGTTTTTCCTGGAAATTCAGGGTGCCATTATTGGGGCACTGTATAATTACAAAATAATCAGATTTGTCTTGTGCCAGGGCTGTGACTATGTGAGCCCAAGGATGTGTAGGTATTAAGGCTCTGAGAAAAGATTTTCTTGTAGGTCACTTCCCACCTCCTCCCATGTTTTAGATGAAAAATTTCTAAACATAGGTTGAGAGAATCTTACAGTGAATTGGTGCCACCAAGCTTATACAATTCACTTGTGCTGTATTTGTTTACACATATGAACCCACTTCTCCATGTCTCCACCCATCCATAAATCTACATCCTATTTTGGTACATTTCAAAGTAGTACATTTCATTAGTTCATGCTACTCCTAAATTCTTTACTATATGTTCATTAACTAGAATGCAGTGTTTGTTTAGGGTCTTTTTTTTAAGTGGAGGGTGAATTCTGCACAGAAAGGCACAAATCTCTGGGTGTACCATTCAATCAATTTTGACACATTTATACACCTGTGTAACCGAACCCCCTATCAAGGTATAGAGTATTACCATCGTTCCAGAAAGTTCCCTCATGCTCCTTCTCCACCAGTCTTACTGGTCTGATTTTTTTTTCCACCCTGGGTTAGTTTTTTTTTTTTTTTCGTCTACTCTTGCAAACCGTTCTTGGCAATATAAAGATGAATTCTGGCTCTCACTCCAAATCAAGTTGGCCAAGCATGTCAGCACCCCCTAAATGGGAGTCCCTCCCCACCTGGCTCCTTCCCTCCTCACTGCCCTAGGAGTTCATCAGACGCAATCTCAGAAACCGCTGGCTTCATGTCTCCTGTCCAACAGGGTATCTGCCTTGTATCCACTCTTGTTTTCCACCCTGTCCACATGGCAACAGAGCTAATACATGATGAAATAGATGTTCTTATTGAGTCATCCTTGGATGATCCTTCTGTTACTGGTAATCAAATGTAGGCTCTCTGTGGCCTATAGGAAAAAACGAAAATTATTTGGAATTAAATACAAGACTCATCAAGATCAGAAGCCTGCCTCCTTTTCCAATCTCATCTCTTATCAACTCTTTCTATGCACCTTATATTCAGGCTATACTGAATTACCGGTGGTAGCCTGAAACGCTGACCTCTTTACCGGAATACCACCTTTTCCTTAATTGCTTTGGGAATTCCTACATTTCTTACATATTCTTCAAAATTAATCTCATCTAATCCTGGAAGCCTTTGCATATCTCCTCAGACGCTTGACTTAGAGCTTATGCATTTACAAGTAGCCACTGTTATGAGACTGGTATATCCTTATAGAATTTTACCGGTGCCTTTATATGCAAAACAGAAATAACACATTTTTTTTTGAAATGATAACTGATGTAATATTCCGCCTATTATTCTGCAGTCAAGCATTTGCATACAGCCTCCAACTCACTGACCACATAATCCATCCCAGAGTTTCGTCCCCTACATCCTTGGGATGTGGTTTGGGTATGGCTTGCATGGAAGAACTATAGGGAATAGAGGTTCCTGTAGTTTGCTATTTTCATAGGAAATTCAATTCTTGTTCTTGGCCCCAGGTGCCTTTCTATCCCTGTATTGTCTGACTTCTTGAAGCTGTAGGATGTGCTAACAAATATACCACAAGGAAATCGGATTCGGTGACGGAATCACCGGGCCCCAGTCAATGACCCCGAGTGGGTCTGCCTTGGGTGGAGATATCCCAGGACCCACGAAGTGGGTGACTGTAAAAGGCTTGCAACGGGGTCCTGCCACGTGCTGCTCAGGCTGGCAAAACAGCCTTCTGAGTTACTGTGCCTCCTCTTGGTCTGACCCTTGGACCTTGAGCCCCAGAGCCGTCCCGTCATACCTGCTCTGCCTAACTCATGTTTACACGGTTCCAAAAGCAATCTCACCCGCTTGTCTCCGATAGTTCCTCTCGAGATAAAAACAGATGCTCAGAAATGAACTTTCCCCCCTATTTTATTGTATTCTTATATTTAAAGACAAACTGCTTTGGGCATTAAGATGCTGCTATCTACATCTGTTTGCATCATTTAATTTCCTGCCAAACATTTATACGCTAACCTGATTTTAATGGGTAAAACTAAAGCTATAGTTTCCTTTCACACAAGGCAAGTCAGGGATGCTCATTTTCCACTGCCCCGACCCCATGCCTCTGTCACATGAACCATGTTTAAGAGTTCTCTCTTATAATCTAGAGGGAAAACTTTATTTAAAGATATTTTTTATAGACAACTGGGTTTTAAGGGCAACTAACTTGCCTAAGAGCTCTGTTTGATTTTCTTCTTGAGCTTGCTTTCTTTGAAGATTCCTTGGAAACAGCTTTTAGAAATATGGTGCCATCTCTGGGAACCATAAAGTGCCAAGTCTGACAAGACCCCCATGGTTTGCTTGTGTCTATGGTGAAATGGAATGTATTCATCTAAAGCTCAACCACCCTTGCTAAATGTTTCTTTAAACACAAGCCCTTACACTGTTGCTTGCTTTCTGCCATGCTATGAGTGTGAGATGATGAGGATCTCTTCCAGGGAGCTGTCCATAGGAGAACCTCAACCTCAGTTGATTCCAGACGTCATGGCTCCAGTGGATACAGACTCAAAGCCTGCTGGGTTCTCAACCCCTGGATTTGAAAGGCCACCAGAGGATGTTGGAACTAGGAAGGAGGCCTTGAGCAGGGATTCCAGCAAGGGCAAGAGAAGGCCAGACTTCGGCACATATCTGGGACACCAGGTGTAGGAATGATTCAAATCAGTGTCGGCGTGGTTCTCAGGGCAACTGGCCCAATGGTTCTGTCTGACATCAGATGCTGGAACGTTGGGGTGCCGGAATTCAGGACTAAAATATTGGCTTTTAGAGTGAGAATTCTCTTTGTGGCAGGAGCTCAGTAGACCAGAGAGCATGTATATTGCAGGAGGAACAGGAAGTGGGATGTAGCCTCCAGGGGAGGGGATCCGAATGGGATGGTAGTTTGGTGGGCGGTGGGGGGGTGGGCGGTGGCGTGGTCCAGTCACTTCATGGACCAGAAAATTGATTTCAAAGGAGCACTCAGTGGAGGTGTAGCTCAAGAACAAGATGAAGAAGTGTTTACTAAAACATTTGGTTTGTTTTAAGTAACGTTTGCCCCAATTGAAATAGTAAAGTACAAACACAATCAGTGTATACAACTTGGAAAAAAACTCAGAAAATCGCAAAGAGAGCTTCCGGGGTTAGCCTGGGCTGGCGGCGGCAGAATGGGGGGCCGAGATCTGGTGATTTTGAAGAGAAGCCTGAACAGCCAAGATGAACACCCCTGCTCCTTTTACCTGAGATGTGGCCCTAACGGGGTGAGCACAAGATGATTTCCTACAAAAAATATAGAAAATTGGACTCCCCCAGCCACGCTTGTAAAATAAAGTTGCTCTCCGTTGGTGAAAAGCAATATGTGTTCATCACTAAAGTTATGGTACACATGAGGCCGCTTTCAGCCAATTCTTCAACGAGCTCTCCTTCAAAAGTTCAAAGCAAGTAAGGGAGGATCATCTTACATACATCAAGTGACCTCAGTGTTCATCGAAAGTGTACCCGTTACTGCAAATCTAGAACTGTAAGGTGATGGGGTCATAGATTATTTTTGTTTGCAGTATTTTTTGTTTTTTTAGGATCGAGGCTAGACCTCCAGAGGGTCCAAACTATCGTGGAGTTTCCGGGGTGAAGGTTGTCACCTGGAGCTCAGCAATTGATGAATATGATTAGGTTTCAACGGCAGAATTGGATTCCAATTGGAAAGCGGCATCGACCGGTTTTGGGAAATAAGGGATCCAAACGTTTGATTGACCTACAATAGTCATCGACCTCAGGAGCCTTGCACGAGTCACCCTCCACACCTTTTCCTTTTCCTTTTCCTTTCAGAACTGGATTGACATCTGGAACTGTGACTGGAGACTTAAATGCTTCCATTGAGAAGAGTCCGCAGCAACCTGGTGGAGGAAATATTACAAACCCCAGAGTGTAAAATTGTGCCACAAAACCATCCTCTCCTTGAGAATGACCTTAAAAATGCAATTTATTCTTTCCTAGCAAAGAAAGCAAGTGACAACTCTGATATTCCCAACTCCGAGTTGCTGTCTTTTCTTCAGAATCTATGTAGTCTGGTCAACCATCTCCGCGTGGGACAGTCACGCCAAGTGGCAGGAAAACATCGCTGACGTTTGGTCATTGTTGGTGTTGCAATGGAAGAGCAACCTGTGTGCTCCTATTTGGAAAAGATTCTTACTAAAAATATGGAACTGATAGAAGAAAATCTCTTGTGGAATATATTGATCTGCGAATATATAAACTTCAGGAGTACACAGATACAAAGATCGTTTTGTTAATAAACACGCTGCAGAATCCCTACTCCCCACCCACTTATCATGTACAAGGCACTACAGATATGTACTACACATTTATTGCAAAGCCAAAGCCCCAAAAGTTCAAAGCAACTAGGGGAGGACCATCTCACTTACATCAAGTGACCTCAGTGTTCATTTTAGCTGTACTTGTTACTGTAAATCTAGAACTGTAATGTGATAGGGTCATAGATTATTTTTGTTTGCAGTATTTTTTGCTTTGATTTTTTACTTTTATTTACTTTTATTTTTGTTTAAGCATTTAAACTTTTTAAGGACTTAAAAAAATTTTTTTAAACATTTATTTACTTTTGAGAGACAGAGAGACAGAGCATGAGTGGGGGAGAGGTAGAGAGAAAGGGAGACCCAGAATCTGGAGCAGGCTCCAGGCTCTGAGCTGTCAGCACAGAGCCCGACGCGGGGCCTGAGAACGGTGAGATCGTGACCTGAGCCAAAGTTGGACGCTCAACTGACTGAGCCACGTAGGTGCCCCTAAACTTTTTAAGGATTTCTAATGCAATTCATGAGTGTGTTGTATATGTGTTTGACTTAAGTACTGTTTTAATTTATACAAAGACCTTATGTTTTAGAAGAATGAAAAAATACAGCATTTGATATATTTTTCTTCTAGTTGATCATTCTCGGAAAACTGAGCCCTGAAGACTTGCAACCTTTAATTTCAGATCACCAAAATACATTTTATATTGTTTATTTCAGGTGAAAAATTAGACGTGATGTTTCTGCAACATTAGTTTACATCGGGCCATTAACCTTATGTTCTGTCACATCAGAGCGATACTATGGATAAGAAAGGAAAACCAGAACGGGACTATTTGTTAAGATTATTATTTTAGATTTAGCGTCTGATGCAAAACAAGAGAAGTCATCTTGTTTCATCCCAATAAACGCAGAATGAATAAGGAACTCTTCTTTTCTGAGCTGATAGTGGTTCCTCTTTCGAGACACCTTTCTGCCACGTTTAAGCATAAAGCACTGAATCTGTGCACTGAAGGATTGACGCATATGAATCAAGATTGTGGTTCTCGTTGGCAGATACAACTTTCAGAAATTATAACTATCTTATATGCCTCGAAGGGTGGTATATTTGCATCGAAAAAATAAATTCATCTTCTCTGGGAAAAGAAAAAAAGAAAAAGCAACAAAGAGGAAAACCCTTTTTACGATCCAATTGGTAGTGTCCTTCAAATCTCTCTTTCTCTCTAATTGAAAGATTGGTATCATATATACAATTTTGAGATCTTGTCTATAATATGAATTCTATATTATTAATTGCTAAGCTATTTTTGCATACAACTTTATGAACATCTCTATTCTTTAGAACATATATTGTGAAGTGAATTTTTTTCTGGAATCACAGGGGATATTCCTATCATCTGGAAAGATTATATGGATTTACACCTCAAGAGTGCCCTCTCTGTCACTGACAGGGCTTTCCTGAGTCTGAGCTCCATGGGGCACTCAATACAAGGTAGGGATGCACAGAACTCAGGGAGCACATTGTGGGGAATATTCTCCGGACTGGGGAGTGAAGAGATTTTGAGACTTCTGGTCTTGACTATGCCACATACCTGATACATGGCCTCAGGCGAACAATTATCCATGTGGCCTTTGTTTCCTCATCTGTAAAATATCGTGGTTGGATGTGATAATATCTCAGATCCCTTCAAACTTCGACATTTTCTTATCCTCAATGACAGTGAGCACACTGAGTCAATCACCCAGCCCGATACGCCCATGGAACGCTTGATGAACTTGGTCTTTCAAGAAGACCGTCACTGCACAGATCAAGAAGAGAGACAAACTCTGGGTCCTGGAAAATAAAACGCGGTGCCTCCACCCCCCGACCTGAGACAACCAGCAGCTGTCACGTTTTCAGGAGTGAATTACGGAATGACCTCTCCCCTTCTTTTGTGCTCCCCTAGGAGGCAGAGACAGTAAATTCTTACTTCATGGAATTAATTTCTAGGGTGTCTTATTTTTTCCTCTCATGTGGTTGCCTCATATAAACAGATGGGGGAAAGGGCAAGAATGAATGGTGGGGAGCAGCTATGCGGACTTACAAATATGAAAATATGAAGTGAAATTTCGTGAAGGAATCCAGGCCACCAGACAGAGGGGAGCGGCTGCCGTATGATCTCGGAGACGGACGGCCCAAGTGGACCACAACAAACCACGGGACGGCCTTGGGCTCTGCCCTTCTCGGGGCTGCCTCTTTTGCTCTGATTCAAATGCTAGAATTGTCTCTCATGCTGCAAACAAGGCCCATGGCACAGTCTGGTAATTTAATCGATTCCTCCTGGTTGTTGGGGCCAGCAGATGAACGATTCGTTCTTTTCTCTTGGCGCAACTGAGTTGCTGTTAAAAAGTGCTTCTAAGCGCTTAGAATCACGCAGTACATGGAACCCAGTGGGCACCTGGTGGGAAGGTGGCCGTCACGTGGCTAATTTATTTCAAATCTCACCCAGGAAATCCAGTTTATTTCAACAAATCCTGGGCCAGGAGCAAGGGCTGAGGGAGAACCACCAGGAGCAGCCACAAATATTAAGTATTGCAGAGCTGGATTAAGGCAGGGTCGGAGCTCCGATGACTGTTTCAATTATTATAGAATGTAAACTCATCGGATGACATCTAATCTGGCCATATTTCCCTCAATTATTTGACCCCAGCAGGGTTTACTTTCCCATCAGTACTGGATCACAGAGCTGTCAGCTGGCGGGTTTGAAGGATGATTTGTTGCCCTAATGATGATACTGAAATCTGTTTATGGTTGTTTATCTAGGGGTCATCTTTCTTCCAGGCAGCTTTCTTCCCCTGGGATTCTGTTGGGGCAGCTCTTTTTAATTCCCCAAAGAGAACAACTGTCAGGGCTTCATACAGGGTAAATATTCCTTCCATGTTCATTTTATGACCTATGACTGTAGCATAGTTATTGAGCCAACTATGTTAATAATGATGCCTTAGAGGGATGCCTGGTGGCTCAGTCACTTAAGTATCCAGCTCTTCATTTTGGCTCAGGTCATGATCTCAGGGTTTGTGCGATGGAACCCGAAGTCAGGCTCTGCGCTGACAGCACGGAGCCTGCCTAAGCCTGCTTGGGATTCTCTCTCTCGGTGTCTTTCTGCTCCTCTCTGACTCACGGGCATGCACGAGCTAGTGTGTGCACACGCTCTGTCTCTCACGATAAACAAATAAACGTTAAAAAAAATAACGATGCCTTGTACATGGAAGATGCTTTGACGTTTACCCAGCACACTCATATGTATCATTTCACAGGCTAATTATATTCAGCACAGTAATTCTACAAATCAGTTGTACTAATGGCGAAAACAATGATAATACATATCGGGCAGTTTGAAATGTTGCAGGCAACAGTCCAGGGGTGTGAGTACCACTATCGTCTCCATTTTGCCGATGAGGAAATCAAGGCACAGGACGGTTGAGCGCCTTGCGAAAAGTCGCACAGCTGGTGATCTGGGCTACTTCTTGGAGGCAGTGGCATGGGAACAGCCCTGTGTGGAGGGGTGTGGGGCAGGCGGAATGAAAATGCACCTCTGGGGGATTTGGCTCTAAAATTAATAGTGACTCTCAGAAAGTTCACCATATTTTTAAAAAATCGTGGGATTTTCTTATAGTTTTGTGCAAAATTTTCACTCTCTAATACACTTGCTCCACTTGAGCAGTGATAGTCCATTTGCTCCCAGTATTTAATAAGAAATTGCCAGATAGATTAATGGTGTGTGTGTGTGTGTGTGTGTGTGTGTGTGTGTGAGAGAGAGAGAGAGAGAGAGAGAGAGAGAGAGAATCAGTTAATAGAGAGACCGGGGTATCTAGGTTGGAATGATCATATACAGACATGTAATAGAATTGGGATTAGTATGTTCAAGAAAAAAGAATACATGAGTAAAAGTTTAGAAGTTAAGCGTAATCTATAGAAAAGTAACAAATATCAATCTGAGAATACAACTACAATATCTGAAATTAAGAAACAAACTAATAATGGATTAAATACAGATGAAGAGAGAATTAATGAACTAGAATATATGTCAGCAGAACACATACAGATTTAAGAATAGAGCAGAGAAAATAATACAGACAATAATGTTGTGAGTAACTTTTGAAAAATTTTTGAAAAAATCCACTGTAATTCAAACCTCAGAAAAAGAAGGGATAGCAAATGACACAGAACAAATGTTTGAAGAGCTTAAAAGCCACCGATTTTTCCAGACGGTCAAAAGACATCAAGCCACAGATTCGAGAATCACTATAAATCCCAAACTGGTTTAAAGGAATCCACTCCTAGGCATATCATAGCCAGACTTAAAAAAACCTAAGACGATGACAACAACAACAACAACAACAAAACCAACAAAACAAAAGAAAAAGCCCCAAACCCAAACGAACTTGAAAGCAACTACAGAAATCTTGAAAGGAATCTTCAAAAGGAGAAAATAAGACCTAGCTCATTTCTCAAGAGAAACAATCAAAGCCAGAAGACAATGGTGTAGTGTATTTAATTTTGAAAGAAAATAACTGTCAACCTAGAATTCTACACCCAGAGGAAATGTTTAAAATGAAGGCAAAATAAAGTCATGTTTTATTTATTTTTTCTTTTTTTTTTTTAAGTTTTTTTTTTCAACGTTTATTTATTTTTGGGACAGAGAGAGACAGAGCATGAACGGGAGAGGGTCAGAGAGAGATGGAGACTCAGAATCGGAAACAGGCTCCAGGCTCCGAGCCGTCAGCCCAGAGCCCGACGCGGGGCTCGAACTCACGGACCGCGAGATCATGACCTGGCTGAAGTAGGACGCTTAACCGACTGCGCCACCCAGGCACCCGTAAAGTCACGCTTTCTAAAAACAGAAACAACTTAGCTGTATATCTATACTAAAAAATGCCATAGCGAGTTCTTCAGGCAGAAGGAAGAGTATCCCGGATTGGAAAAAAAAAAATTGTAGAAAGAAACACAAAACAATATAATGGATAAATACATGGTGAAAATATAAACTACTATTTTCATAAAAGGTAATAATAATGTCTTGTGGGTATGAACTATATGTAGATACAATACTTGACAACGAAGCTCAAAAAGAGAGGAAGAGAAATGGAATTTAAAATGTTTTTATGTCATGCTTTATTGTGGGAAAGAAAAGTTCTA